TTCTACCTCCGACTCGCCGGCGATGGCAACCGAATGATGCAAAAGCAGATACCGTTGACTCAAACGCATCCCACAAAACACTACCCGTAATGCCATATATATGTCATTCAAAGGGTTTATAATTATTTTAAAAGTCAACAAATTATAAGTTATTTATAATTTAAATATATTTCTTAAATAAAAGTTTTGCAAAATATAAAGCGCTTGCAATGTGTTTACTGTAATGTGAATCAATAACTGTTCCCATTGGATATAAATGAACCAGTTTTACTTACCGTATTCCCGCACAAGCAACGGCATGCCGTTATAAGTGAGGCATATATTTATAAATAATCATGCATAAGGTTGAACTATAGCGATACTAGTACTAGTTTTACTTATATTTATAGGTTTTTCTAACATAAATCTAATTATACAACTAAAATTAACACTAAAATGCTAAAATTAATAATGATTTGTGGATTCAGTTTATTGTTAACGCATTTATATGAAAAAATATTAATAATTTTTAAAATTTTAAAAGCACATTTTTGACCTCACTTATTACGGCATGCCGTTATACCCCTGGGTTTTAACGGCAGTCTCATCAACCTCACTTTACACCGGCATGCCGGTGCTTGTGCGGGAATACGGTAATATTGAAATCTATTTTCTCGTCACATTCCCGAATATAAGGTATACTATATTTGCTTATAAGGTCTTATAAAAAAGTCTTTAATTGAAATCTATTTTGTTTTGTAAAATATTTATATATCGGTTTAAATGTCGAATTTTCATTGAATTAATTATTCAAAAACCCGAATATTTACAAGCATTACCTATAGTTCATTCGAAAGCTTATAACAAAGCCCTTTTCAGATTGAACATTTTTTACCTAGTTACTATTGTTAACTAGTAATAATTAGCCAAAATATTTCCTATTGATTTTTATGTTGTATTCAATGATTTTCAAATGTTAATTGTGGTGAACAAGACATCGGATTAAAGTGATCAAGCTTTAAATAACAATTTCACAATAAGTTCCTGTGTACCTGCTATTATTTAATTTGTGAACATTAACTGCAAGATTGTCCATTAAAATAATATGAATGCTACTAGCTCAGATAAAAAAGATACATCCAATTATACGGTATTTCAAAATTATATAAAATGTCTGCAAAATTCACACGATATGCCATACCTTTTGGCACCAAATATTTAAATTTAGTTAAACATACTTAGTCAAATTAAATGCTAAACAGACTAAAATCATTGATTATTTGCTTTAAAGTTGTATTTTATGTATTATTAATAGAAATAAATGTTTAGTCTCATATAGGCAAATTTATTTATAGGCAACAAATTTTTCTGACAAATACGAGTTGCTCTTAAAGGACCTTTACTGAATATCCAACAAAATGCTATACTTTTCTTTTTAGAAACGCTTTAAAGTGTTTTGATGTCTCATCCAGGTGTTAAGTAATAACTTTCATTAATAAGTATTACTAATAAGCGTGTAAAGTTGGCAATAATATTTAATATCTGGAGTACACGGGTACATTTAATTTATGATCATGATGATAAAATATACTTCAGAATGATCCTTATACTGTACTAGTAAATAGAACAGTTAATTAAATTATAACAATAATCTAGCAAATAGCACCTGTATCCTTTAGATTATTGTTAACAATAATCTGTCGAAAACAATATTAGGTACACTAATTAATCTAAAATACAATGAATTAAAAATCGTATCTAAAATTTTTTGGGATAATTGTACTTAAGATTAATTTTTTAAAATAATCAATATAAAATAATTATTACACTTAAATTATTCTATTTGGTTACCTACATAGGATCTTATATAAATAAAACCAATAAACCTGTTGATCAAATGACAATTGTACTGAATAATATAAAGTGAAATGAAAGCACCTAGTGCAGTTATAGTGTTCATAGTATGTCTGTCGGCGGCCACACCACTACTGGCCTCCAGTGTCGTCGAAGACGTTGTCGGCAAACTGACGGTCGGATACCAGGGATGGTTTGGCGCCAAAGGGGATAAATCGCCGCGCGATGCTTGGATCCATTGGGTCGACCACAGCGACCACCCCTACAAAGACCACCAAAAGTTTGACATTTGGCCAGACGTTAGAGAATACACGCATACTTACCAAACGGGTTACGCTAACCTCGGTAACGGACAACCGGCCACATTGTTCTCGTCTTACGACAACCAAACTGTGGACACACACTTCAAATGGATGCATGAGGTGAATATCTACATCACCATATGAGCCAGGCAAATCAATAGACCCTATGATTTTGGGTGTTAACCCAATAGAAAATACATTACAATAAACTGTAGTTAACCTTTTAATAGAATTAATAATTGTTTTATTTAATATAGTTAATTGAAATGTATTTGAATTTGGACTTGACAACTTATGATTACGACTGACACATATTTCATTGATTGGCCTTATACAGTATTAGGCCCAGGGTTTATTTACGGTGCGTGTTATGGGTTAACTCGTAAGTGTGTTTACCAACATTTCCAAATATGTGTATGACATTAGACCGACAATTACAATTATAAGATAAAATTGTGTACTCATGTTACTAAATTCATATAATCATTAATCAATGTTGGCAAACATGCTTAACCCAAAAAAAAGTCCTTGGTTATGCCGATAGAATCAATACTATAGATTGCTCATTCGTGCCAATCCGGGCTACACTATAAGTGGCAAAACTTTGAACATTTTAATATAAATCTCAATACTGACTATTGTTCATTGTTGTCACTGTGAATGCTATAGAATCTGTAGTATAGATATAGATATAGAATAATATTGTGTATAATTGAATGAACCCTCCCTTATGTGTCCGACCAGAACAACATCGATACGGCGGCGCTTCAACGGTTTGGGAGTCACGTAAGGGGTGATCCCGTGTACACGAAATGGCTCAACGATATCGCCGACAACGTGAGGACGGGGGCCGAGGCTCACGACCGCAAGTTTTACCTGATGTGGGATATCAGTGGTTGGAATAACTTCGCCACAGAACTCATCGAGGACTACGACAACAACGTTAAGCGCCTGGTGTCCAGTAAGGCCTACGCCCACCAAAACGGCAAACCCGTGGTCTGCATCTGGGGCTTCGGGTTCACAGGTAACCCACAGGACACGAAAGGCGCCATTGCCCTCATCGCGCAGCTCAAGCAACGGGGTCTGTATGTGGCGGGCGGTGTAGAGACTCAATGGCGCACCGACACCACCGCCTGGAAGGACGTCTTCACGAAGCTTGATATGTTGCAGCCCTGGGCTGTCGGCCGCTTTCATGGGGTCAAAGGGGCCGAGGATTATAAGAAGACATTGGAAGCTGATTACAATGCACTCAAACAGCTTGACATCGGTTAGGATTACTCGCGAATCGGTGTCTATTTTTGGTGTGTTTTCGAAGGTTATACATGTTTTGCTAACATTGCATCATTAGTACGACAACACAACTATATAATAATAATTGTCATTACAAAGTCATACACTCATTAAGTAATGTTAGCAAACATGTATAACCCAGAAAATCCATGGAAAATAAATGTTGTCAAAGTAATTTTGAAATTGATTTATCAATATTCAAATGATAATTTATAAAAATAATCGTAATCTACACTTCTAAAGACTATCAGCCAGTTCTATTTGCGGGCTTCACGTGGGCTAATTGGCAACCTAAGGCTGTACGCAATCAGATCCCGCGTGAGCATGGTGACTTTATGTGGCGTCAGTTCGTGAACGTGCGAGAGCTGGACATCCCGTCGTGTTATGTGGCGATGTTTGACGAGTACGACGAGGGGACGGCCATCGCAAAGGCGGCCGAGAATAAGTCAATGGCGCCGACAGACCAGTGGTTCCTGACGATGGACGCCGACGGGGTGGCCGTCAGCGCCGACTTCTACCTCCGACTCGCCGGCGATGGCAACCGAATGATGCAAAAGCAGATACCGTTGACTCAAACGCATCCCACAAAACACTACCCGTAATGCCATATATATGTCATTCAAAGGGTTTATAATTATTATAAAAGTCAACTAATTATAAGTTATTTATAAATAAATATATTTATTAAATAAAAGTTTTACAAAAGGTTTTTGGACTGGATTTTTTATCACTTTTCAATACATTTTACAGATTCGTTCTAGGACCTATGGTTAAAAAGTTATAATTAATATTTTGGTAAAATTTAAAAACTAATGTCCATGTATCAAGCGCATTTTATTTTACGCAGAATAGTTTTTAAAGTTTAAAAATCGCATGTGAAATTGCCAAGGTGCAACTATTTATCATATTTTCAAAGTAAATCAAAATACTTAAAAGTACTCAAAAACCTAATGTAAACTTGTTTGATTCTCAAAATGGCCAAAACTAGCCTATAGCATATATGTTATAATGGATAAAGGCTAGTTTTGGCCACATTGAGAATCAAACAAGTTTACGTTTATTTTCAATTAGAGTTTCACTAATTTTCTGTCAATACTGTATATTGCATAGTTTATTATATTTTTATCGATTAAAGTTTAAATTACACTACATGGAAAGTGAGATAAATTATAGGTGGTTCATTGAATAAAATTGTAAAGTAATTTATATTTTGATACAGAACCCGTACTGGTACATTTAATCAATAATGGTAATGATAAAATATGTTCACAAAAACAATGTACTAGTCAATAGTCTACTTAATAAATTATAGTATTATAGCTTTATTTGCCAAGCCAATAGTACATGTGTTCTTTAGATTAGTCTTATAGCTAGAAATAATCTGTCAAAAACAATATTAAGTACGATAATTGATATAATAGTTTATTATTACGTTGAAGACCGTTTTTAAAAAATTATAGTATAACTGTACTTAAAATCTGTTTGCTTATAATCTTAATTAATAAAATAATAATTAAACTAAATGTAGTATTGTATAATGCTAAGCTCTCCATGAAATATTAACTATCAATGACATTTGTCTAAAATTCACAATCGTTCTAACGTATCATAATTAATTAAATAATTTTGAGTATACTGTATAAATTAAAATTGTTATTGTAATTGTCATACCTTCATATTCAATATATAATACTATCTAAAAATATATTTTTACATTCATATACTTTCAATATCTTTTATGAATCTAAAATAAGTTTTATCAGAAAAAATACTTTGGTACGAATGTACTGATAAGTCCTTAATATTGTATTTTACGCAATTGACATTGAATGTCTCCTGGTTCAGATTACAAAACTTTTTAATGAACCACTTATCAAATAAATTTTCAATTTATTAATTATAAATAATTAATGATCAAGCAGGTGCATGGTTCGCATAATATACCTAAGTAAAATACACGCTATATTTTACAGTATAACTTACGTATATATAAAACGATAGACTTTGTGATCAGTTCATATACACATAACTTTTTATCTTTCACTTTACTTTCGTGGATCACGTCAATATCACGAGTATCATACGGACAGCCGCCGCACACCACTACTGGCCTCCAGTGCCGTCGGCGACGTTGTCGGCAAACTGACGGTCGGATACCAGGGATGGTTCAGTGCTAAAGGGGATAACTCACCGCATAATTCATGGATCCATTGGGCAAATGGTAGTGACCATCCCTGCAAAGATCACTCTAAGGTTGACGTCTATCCCGACACTCGGGAATACACGCATACCTACCAAACGGGTTACGCGAACCTCGGTAATGGACAGCCGGCTAAGTTGTTCTCGTCGTGGGATAAGCAGACTGTGGACACACACTTCAAATGGATGAAAGAGGAGGCGGCCACACCACTACTGGCCTCCAGTGCCGTCGGCGACGTTATCGGCAAACTGACGGTCGGATACCAGGGATGGTTCAGTGCTAAAGGGGATAACTCACCGCATAATTCATGGATCCATTGGGCACAGGGTAGTGACCATCCCTGCAAAGATCACTCTAAGGTTGACGTCTATCCCGACACTCGGGAATACACGCATACCTACCAAACGGGTTACGCGAACCTCGGTAATGGACAGCCGGCTAAGTTGTTCTCTTCGTGGGATAACCAGACTGTGGACACACACTTCAAATGGATGAAAGAGGTGAATATCCTGGTGACCATATATCCTTAAATGGCCTTATGTTATGCTCAGGTTCTATTTTCTATGTGAATTATGGGTTAAACATATCTGACAAAACATTTTGCAATGAGTGGCTGATGACAATTAAGTTATATTGATATCTGTAGTGAGAAAATAAACTCATAATTTTGGATGAGTTGAGAGTTTTTTATACTTTATTGCTTACGTTTCAAGTAAATTATAAAAATATTTATAAAAGTTTATTTAAAATTGCTTTCAATTCACAACTTACTTAAAATTATGAATTGATATTCTTGGTACAGGTACAGTATACTGTAGTTGGGAAGTGATACTTTTACTACTGAACATTAAAATACTTTTACTAAAAGTTTTAGTAAATTAAATTAAAGTCTTATGATACACAATTTACCAATATTGCCAAACATGCATTACCTAGAAAGTCAACCAAAAAACAATCCCGGCTATATCTATAAATCAGTCACTTCCAACTGTTAGCCTGTCCATCTATAGCATTAGCAACCTTGAACGAAACATACCTGTTGCTATAAATTAATGAATACCAATTGCGTGAACAATTAAAAACTAATGATGAATGAGCAATATTAAGTAACACCAGTTTGCTATTAGAAACCTATGCTTAACTATATGACTGTAATGACTAAAATTAGTGTTTCATAAAAAGTATTCACATATGTCTTGTGTCCGATCAGAACAACATCAATACGGCAGCCCTCCAGCGGTTCGCGAGTAGCGTTAAGCGCGACCCAATCGCCCAGAAAAGTCTAAACGGTGTGGCCGACAACGTGAGGGCCGCGGCCGAGGCTCACGGACCCAAGTTTTACGTGATGTGGGATATCAGCGGTTGGACTAACTTTGCCACCGAACTTATCGAGGACTACGACACCAACGTTAAGCGCCTGACCACCAGTAAGGCCTACGCTCACCAGAACGGCAAACCCGTGGTCTGCATCTGGGGCTTAGGGGTCAGCGGTCGGCCTAATAACACCGCGGGAGCCATCGCCCTCATCGCGCACCTTAAGAAAGAGGGTCTGTATGTGGCGGGCGGTGTGGCCAAGCAGTGGCGCACCGACACCACCGCCTGGAAGGACGTCTACACGAAGCTCGATCTGTTGCAGCCCTGGACGGTCGGCAGCTTCGGGAACGTCAAGGGGGCCGAGGATTACAAGACGACATTGGAGGCCGACCTCACTCTACTGAAGCAGCATAACATTGGTTAGTATTACTCGGGATCTATTTCCATAGGATTATACTAAAACACATTTTGCTAATAATTATCAATATTCAAATGCTCAAAATCATTGCAATCCCAAATGCTTTAGACTATCAGCCGGTTCTATTTGCTGGCTTCACGTGGGCCAACTGGCAACCAAAGGCCGTACGCAATCAGATCCCACGTGTGCATGGTGACTTTATGTGGCGTCAATTCGTGAACGTGCGAGAGCTGGACATCCCGTCGTGTTATGTGGCGATGTTTGACGAGTACGACGAGGGGACGGCCATCGCAAAGGCGGCCGAGAATAAGTCAATGATTCCGACAGACCAGTGGTTCCTGACGATGGACGCCGACGGGGTGGCCGTCAGCGCCGACTTCTACCTCCGACTCGCCGGCGATGGCAACCGAATGATGCAAAAGCAGATACCGTTGACTCAAACGCATCCCACAAAACACTACCCGTAATGCCATATATATGTCATTTAAAACGGTTTATAAT